TGACCTCCAGGATGGCGGGGTTGACCAGTTCACTCCTGCGAGTCAGCGAGTGACTCACTGTACGTGTGCTCGGACGGGCCGACACCTGGCCACGTTTACCCGTGCGCCTGGCTCGAGTCTGTACACACTGACCACTGTGTCCCCTCAGGTAGCTGCGTCTGCGTCTGCGTCTGCGTCAGGTCAGCTGGCGGCCCCCTGCTCGTGTCCCGCTTTGTCGCACCAGACCCTCCTTTGGCACCACCGTCTTGGTCACCCCTCGGTGCAGCGCCTTCGTAGCATGCACCGCCGTGTCCTTGTCTCTGGTCTTCCCAGGGTTCTCCCTCCCCTCCCACCCTCGCCTGCTCCTCCTTGTCTTCCCTGTGTCGAGGGGCGGCAGCGCGCCGCTCCTCACTCCTCCTCGTTCCCTCCCACGGAGGCTCCCCTGCAGACTCTCCACCTGGACGTGTGGGGCCCAGCCCGCGTCAGTGGACCGGGCCACGACGAGCTTACTTCCTGCTGGTCGTCGACGACTACACGCGTTACACACATTACCACCACGGTCTTCCCTTTGCAGCGCAAGGGGGATGTCCCTGCTGTTTTGATCCCTTGGATCCGCGCTGCCCGTCTCCAGCTCCGCGAGCGGTTTCGGGACGGAGTTTCCCGTCCTGCGTCTGCACTCTGACAGAGGTGGTGAGTTCTCCTCCGACCTCTTGGCAGCCTTCTGTGCGGAGCACGGCATCCGTCAGACGTTCACGCTTCCGGCCTCTCCGCAGCAGAATGGGGTTGCTGAGCGCCGCATTGGCTTGGTCATGGAGGTCGCTCGTACCTCTATGATCCATGCGGCTGCCCCCCATTTTCTGTGGCCGTTTGCGGTCCGGTACGCCGCGCATCAGCTCAACCTCTGGCCCCGTGTCTCCTTACCGGAGACCTCGCCCACGCTGCTGTGGACGGGGAAGGTTGGCGATGCGTCGCGTTTCCGAGTCTGGGGTGCTCGTGCCTTTGTCCGCGATACCTCCGCGGACAAGCTCTCCGCCCGCGCTGTTCCCTGTGTCTTCCTTGGCTTTCCCCCTGACGCGCCTGGTTGGCAGTTTTACCACCCCACCTCGCGCCGTGTCTTTGCGTCTCAGGACGTCACGTTCGACGAGTCGGTTCCCTTTTACCATCTCTTCCCCTACCGCACTGCCCCCCTCCCCCCTCCGCCGCTCTTCCTCGCTCCAGGTGCTCCCCAGGTAGACCCCCTCCCCGCTCCCGGTCCTGCTCCTTCAGGTGTGTCTCAGGTTGACCCTCCTCCCTTGACTGCGCCGGTTGAGGTCACTAGTGACTCAGGTCCTGCTGCGGGTGGTCCTGCTCGGGGTACTACTTCTGGGGGTGCTGAGCCTGGGGGTGCGGAGCCTTGGGGTGCTGAGCCTGGGGGTGCGGAGCCTGAGGGTGCGGAGCCTGGAGGTGCTGAGCCTGAGTGTGAGGAGTCTGGGGGTGCTGAGCTTGGGGGTGCTGAGCCTGGGGGTGCTGCACCTAGGGGCGCCGAGGCGTCTGGTGAGCAGTCTCTCTGGAGCGGCCGTCTCCGTAGTCGCTCTGCTGGTGCCTCGCCGCTGCACTCTCGTCGTCTACTCCCTCTCTCCCCACAGCAGCTGCGTGAGTGGTACGTTGGCCGTCAGGGTCGCGCTGCTGGAGCTGGGGGCCCTGCTGCTGGGGGCGCTGAAGCTTGTGACTCTCCTACTAGAGTTGTTTCAGCTGGAGGTTCTGGAGTTGCTGGAGGTGCTGGCGCAGGTGGCGCTGGAGCTGGAGGTTCTGGAGCTGCTGCGGGTGCTGGCGCTGGAGGTTCTGGAGCTACTGGAGGTGCTGGCGCTGGTGGCGCTGGAGCTGGAGGTTCTGGAGCTGCTGAGGGTACTGAGCCTGTGCGTGTGGAGTCTGGGGGTGCTGAGTCTGGGGGTGCGGCGCCTGAGGGTACTGCGATTGCTGGGACGCGGTCTCCTTGGAGTGGCCGCCTTCTTTCTTCCGCGTGTGCCTCTCACCTCACAGCAGTTGCACGACTGGTACGGTCGCCGTCAGGTTCGCGCTGCTGGAGCTCGGGGCTCTGCCGCTGGAGGTGCTTCTGCTGACGCCACTGGAGCTGGGAGTGGTGCTGGTACTTTGTCTACTGGAGGTGCTGGAGTCGCTGGTCCCGGAGGTGCTCGTACTGGCAGTACTGGAGCTGCTGGGACTGGAGGTGCTGTGTCTGGGGGTGCTGCTGCTGGAGACACTGCGGCTGGAGACCCTGGGGCTGGAGGTGCCGGTTCTGGGGGTGCTGCTGCTGGAGACGCTGCGGCTGGTGGAGCTGGTCCTGGAGGAGCTGGTGCTGGAGGCGCTGGAGCTGTTGGTACTGGTGGCACGGCGCAGCCGAGACTGTTCTTCGCTCCGCCGTCTCCGTCGTCTCCGCCACCGCCTGACTCTGTGCTTCGCCAGGTTCTTAGCCTCCCGTCTTCTACTGGTCTTCCGTTACAGCCTGGCTCACCGCTGCCTGCTCCTTCTCCTTACACTGAGCAGCCAGGAGGTCTTGCTGAGCGTCGTGAGCCTGCGTCGCGTCCTGTCTCGCCTGTTCCCACTGGTCGTACCGGTCGTCGTGTTTCTCGTCCATGTCCGCCGGCTGTCTCCGGTACGCACCTCGTTGTCCGTCGTCCGTCCTCTGCTCTGCAGAGTGTTCCTCTGCCGTCTCCTCCTGCGTCCTCTCTGCCTGACGTTCCGGACCCTGAGTCTGACCGGTTTCGTGCTGAGCACCCTACTGTCACGCGTCTGTTGGCCACTGTTGTCACTGACCCTTCGTTTGAGTCGCCTGCTGCGTCTGCCTTGGTCGCTGAGCTTGTTGACTTTGCTGCTGCCTGTCATCTAGACTGCGCTGCGTCTTGTTGCTGAGTCTGCGTCTGTCTGTCCTCCGTCCGTCGGGGGTGAGTGTGCTCTTGGCACGGACGTCCTTGAGGACAGACAGGAGGACCTTGAGTGTCTTGCGGCCGCTGCGCCTCATCTCGTGGCCATGCTGCTTGCCCCTGAGGGAGACCCGGATGCTCTTGACATCCCTACCACCCGTGCTCTTACGCTGAGGCGATGGCGGGTCCCTACTCCTCTTAGTGGCAGACAGCTATGGACGCAGAGATGGCATCCTGGAAGTCCACAGGCACTTACGTTGACGAGGTTCCCCCTCCTAGGGCGAACATCGTCGATGGCATGTGGATTTTCAGGGTGAAGCGGCCGCCGGGCTCTCCGCCTGTCTTCAAGGCTCGTTACGTTGCTCGAGGCTTCAGTCAGCGACAAGGAGTTGACTTCTTCCAAACCTTCTCCCCCACCCCGAAGATGACCACTCTTCGGGTGCTGCTGCACGTTGCCGCTCAGCGTGACTACGAGCTTCACTCACTGGACTTCAGCACAGCCTTCTTACAGGGCAGCCTGCACGAGGAGATCTGGCTGCGCCGCCCACCTGGCTTCACTGGGTCGTTTCCCCCTGGTACCCAGTGGAGCCTCCGGCGGCCAGTCTACGGTCTCCGCCAGGCGCCTCGTGAGTGGCACGACACACTGAGGACTACACTTGCGGCTCTTGGGTTTGCTCCTTCGACTGCTGACCCGTCGCTGTTTCTGCGCACCGACACTTTGCTGCCGCCGTTCTACATCCTCGTGTATGTCGACGACTTGGTCTTTGCCACTGCTAACACTGAGGCTCTCGCCCTGGTGAAGTCGGAGCTGCAGAAGAGACACACGTGCACATACCTGGGTGAGCTGCGCAGCTACCTTGGCTTGCAGATCACCCGGGACAGAGCACGCCGCACCATCACTCTGACTCAGTCACACATGGTGCAGCAGGTCGTTCAGCGCTTCGGCTTCACCTGGTCCTCGCCACAGTCCACTCCGCTGGCTACAGGTCACTCGCTCTCAGCTCCACCTTCGGACGAGTCCGTAGAGCCGAGTGGTCCGTACCCAGAGCTAGTGGGCTGCCTCATGTACGTGATGACCTGCACTCGACCTGACCTTGCGTACCCTCTAGACCTTCTGGCTCGTTACGTGGCTCCTGGTCGACACCGAAAGGTGCACTGGGATGCTGCGAAGAGGGTAATGCGCTACTTGTGCAGTACGTCGGGCATGGGGCTCGTGCTTGGAGGGCGGAGAGACGTGGTCCTCACTGGGCACTCAGACGCTTCTTGGGTTGACGACCAGGCTACGCAGCGGTCGTCACAAGGTTACACTTTCAGCCTTGGCTCCGGTTCTGTTTCTTGGCGTTCTACTCGCTCGTCTTCTGTTCTCAGCTCCAGTTGTGAGGCTGAGATCTACGCCACTGCCATGGCTGCTCAGGAGTTACGCTGGCTCACTTACCTGCTGACCGACTTGGGAGAGCGGCCTCGTTCTCCTCCAGTGCTGTACGTCGACAACAAGGCTGCCATTGCCTTGTGTGAGGAGCACAGACTAGAGCACAGAACGAAGCACATCGCTCTGCGTTACTTTCTGGCTCGAGAGTTGCAGCAGCGTGGTCAGCTTCGTCTTGCACACGTGGCCACTCAGGCCAACACTGCTGATATATTCACCAAGGCACTTCCGTCTGGTGACCATCAGCGCTTTTGTACTTTGTTGGGCCTTGTGCCTACGTTTCCACACTTGCTGTAGACTCTGTCTGTACTGTGATCCATATATATATACCTGCATGCTTGCTCTTGCTAGGTAGTGATCACTGTACTGTTCTTGTTGCATATATACCTCTGCATGTGAACTGGCCTTGTGGCCCTTTGCTTGTGCTCAGTGTGTGTGGTGACGTTGTGATCCACCCTGAGCTTGCTTTGCTTTTCTTGACTGGTTTTGTGACCCCTTGCTCTCCCCCACTTTGCCTATGGGGGTGTGTCAAATTATATATGCTGCATATTGTGTAGGCTGTAGTGGGGTAGCCCATATGGGGTACAACCCAATTAGGGTTTACTACTTGTACTCCTGCATGCTGCTAGTTCATTCATTCCTGCCTAGTATTCTAACAGATGTTGCGGTGCGTCGACCAACGGCGGGGGAGGCGCATGCTCTGGAGGTCAGTGTTGCCGATCCCGAGTCAACGCTAGTACGCTAGCACTCTAATGCTAGGCAAACACCGTCTGAGCCATAACTTCGTAATGGCAGAACTTTTCGCGAGGCAACTTGGCTCATTTTAAAGCTCTTGGAGCGAGCTTCGATATAGCGAATTCTCAGCTTAATCCGACCGACGGTCTGCACGGCACGCTGCGCGACGTTCAAGGTACTCTTGCTGTTTTGACTAAGTCCTTCTTGATCCCTCTCTCTACAAACTCGGACCCGAGGATAGGGCTGGTCTTGTGCCAGGCACCCAGGGACCCTTGGAGGTCTATAGAAGTGGCGGCCAGGGAGTGGAAGCGCAGGAAGACGGGAGATAACGCGCCGCTGTTAGCGCGCAACCGGGGGGTGCAATTCACCCCTTTGATTGTTGAGACGTGGGGATGCCTAGGTGGACGTTTTCGGCGTTGGTTGCGGCAGCAGGGGGATGCACATTTTGGACTTGCCGTTTCGAGGGGGGCGTGTCGGGAGGATGATCAGGTTTCTCCTCGTATCTCATGGGATCCTTAAAGGCTATGATTGGGGTGGCATTGCAGCGTGCCCAGGCTCGAGTCATCTTGCTTCGCGCTGCATCGTCTATGGGCGGAGGAGATATCGATCTAGTGGACAGGGAGAGGGAGGACACTGAGGAGTTGGGGGGGGCACTGTGGGTGGATGCTCAGTATTTGGTGTCCGCCCCAGTGTGAGGGGCGTCGGGGGGGGGGGGGGGGGGAGAGGAGGGCTTCTAGATAGGGTGTTGGTTTGGGGGGTCATCTCTGTTGGGCTTTTGGTTTCCTTTTGGCTTTTCTTTCCCTATTTTTTTCCACACAAAAAAAAAAGTCTGAAATTTCAGACAAGTCAGTAAAAAAATCAGACAGGGTGCCTAAAAAGGTTCTTTGAGTTCAGACTAGGTAAAAAAAAAAAGTCTGAACGGACTCCAAAGTCTGATATCTAGGGCCCTGACCCTGATGCTTAAAACCCGCAGCCTGAATTACAAAAAGTGTTTTGAGGTGTTAACACTTTCCCTCCCGAACCTGGGTGGTTACCAAGTGTCCAACCAGTAAACGTGAGGAAGTCGCACGCAACGCAGGTAGGATCGCAAGGGTGCCTGGCAACGAGTTTGGCTGTGGGTGTGCACACCTAGCCAAGAAATTTGTAATTCAGGTCGACAGAAATCGGGGAGTCCTAGCCTACTGTTAGCCTAGCGCTCTGCTTAGATTTTGTTTTTTTACTCCAACTAGTGCAGTCTCAATCGCGATCTTTGCTCGTTGTGACGCACTCCCGTCGCATTAGGGTTACTCCCTCTGTCGCCTACGCTCATCCCTCCCGTCGCGTAATCATATTCCCCCCCGTGGCCCACGCTCACTCCCCTCCCGTCGCCTTCGCTCTTTCCCCTCCATCGTCCCACGCTCACTCCCTCGCGTCGTCTTCGCTCATTCCCCCCCGTCGCCCATGCTCACTCCCTACCGTCGTGTTCGCACACTCCCCTTCCGCCGCCCACGCTCACTCCCTCCCGTCGCGCTCGCTCACTCCCCTTCCGCCGCCCACGCGCACTCCGTCCCGTCGCGTTCGTCCACTCCCCTTCCACCGCCCACGCTCACTCCCCTCCCGTCGCGACTGTCCCCTCCGTCGCACACGCTCATTCCTCTCAAACGCCCATCTTCACTCCCCTCCGTCGCCCACGCTCACTCTCTCCCGTCGCCCACGCTCACTCCGACGGGAAGCACGCTCATTTTCCATCCGTCGCCCATGCTCACTGCCTGTACGTCGCACACGCTCACTCCCCTCCGTCGCCCACGCTCACCCCCCCCCGTCGCCTTCGCTCACTCCCCTTCCGCCGCCCACGCTCGCTCCCTCCCGTCGCGTTCGGCCCCATCCGTCGCCCACGCTCACTCCCCTGCCGTCGCCCATCCGCCTCACCCCATATCCACCCCACCCCATCTCCGCCTCACCCCATCTCCGCCTCACCCCATCTCCGCCTCACCCCATCTCCGCCTCACCCCATCTCCGCCTCACCCCATCTCCGCCTCACCCCATCTCCGCCTCACCCCATCTCCGCCTCACCCCATCTCCTCCTCACCCCAGCTCCGTCCGCGCGCACTCCCTCCCGTCGCGCGCGACAACTCCCCTTCCGCCGCCCACGTTCTCTCCCTCCCGCCCGCATTCACTCACCCCCCTCGCTCGGCCACGCGATTTCCCTCTTGTCGCCCACGCTCACACCACCCCGCCGCACACACTCTCCCCCCATCCGTCGCCCACGCTCACTGCCCGTACTCCGCACACGCTCACTTCCCTCCGTCGCCCACGCTCACCACCTGCCCCTCGCCTTCTCTCATTCCCCTCCGTCGCCTATGCTCCCTCCCCATCCCTTCCCTCCCCATCCCTTCCCTCCCCATCCCTTCCCTCCCCATCCCTTCCCTCCCCATCCCTTCCCTCCCCATCCCTTCCCTCCCCATCCCTTCCCTCCCCATCCCTTCCCTCCCCATCCCTTCCCTCCCCATCCCTCCTCTCCCCGTCCCCTCCTCTCCCCGTTCCCTCCTCTCCCCATCCCCGCCTCCCCATCCCCGCCTCCCCATCCCTTCCCTCTCCATCCCCCATCTCCCCATCCCTCACCTCCCAGTCTCTCATCTTACCATTCCTCTTCTACCCATCCCTCACCTCCCCATCCCCGTTCCGCCCCACCCCATTCCGCCCCAAACCCATCCCTCCTCACCTTTCCCCATCCCTCCTCTCCCCATCCGTCCTTTCCCCATCCGTCCTCCTCACCCCATCTCCTCCTCACCCCATCTCCTCCTCACCCCATCTCCTCACCCCATCCCCTCATCACCCCATCTCCTCCTCATCCCTCCTCTCCCCGTCCCCTCCTCTCCCCATGCCCTCCTCTCCCCGTCCCCTCCTCTCCCCGTCCCCTCCTCTCCCCGTTCCCTCCTCTCCCCGTCCCCTCCTCTCCCCGTCCCCTCCTCTCCCCGTTCCCTCCTCTCCCCGTCCCCTCCTCTCCCCGTTCCCTCCTCTCCCCGTTCCCTCCTCTCCCCGTCCCCTCCTCTCCCCCTCCCCTCCTATACGCATCCCCTCCTCTTTCAAACCCATCCTCTCTTGGTTTTTCCTCACCCCATCCCTTCATCTCCCCATCCCCTCCTCACCCCATCCCCTCCTCTCTCCATCCCCTCCTCTCCCCATCCCCTCCTCTCCCCATCCCCTCCTCTTCTCATCCCCTCCTCTCCCTGCCCCCTCTTCTTCCCATCCCCTCGTCTCCCTGTTCCCTCCTCTTCTTATCCCTTCCTTCCCCCATCCCGTTGCCCCTTTCCTCCATGTCTCTTCACTTTGTTCCCCCCGTCCTCCTTCCTCATTCCTCCCTGCCACCCTTTCTCCTCCCCTCTTTCCTCCCCAGCCTTTCTTCCTCCCCTCCCTTCTGCTTCTCTCCCCCCGTCCTCCCTACCTCCCTTCCCCCAACCATCACTAACTCCCTTCCTTCATTCCTGCATTCCTCGCTTCCTCCCTTCCTCCGTTCCTCCCTTCATCATTTGTCAGTTGTCATTCTTTTGCATCAGCCACTTCAGCCACGTCACATCTGACTTCCTGGTTTGTGTTTGTACAGGTCTTCTCTGCATCTGGTTGTGTTGTGGTTGTCAGGAACATGACATATAGACATGCCATGTATCGGATCGGATTGTTTTTTATGATACAGCATTATGAGCTTCAGAGCAGTCATACACATGACCACCAAGGAGTGCAACAAATTATTTACTAGTACTTTTTGTACGGTAAAAGTGAGGGGAATCACTCAATTTTATAAAAGACCTAAGTTGGGGGGGGTGTAATGTTGCTTCCCGTTTTTTTCTGCTATACTGCAAGCAATAAACCAGGCCGTAGTAAAGCCACAACATCTCGAGCTGGGCACCTGTACCCTGCATTGGGGGATACGGGGGTGAGTGAAGGGGGAAAGGCAGTAGACAGAATGAGCAGAAGGGAAGAGAAGAAGCAGCGGGGGACAGAGTGAGAAGGGGGGAAGAGAGGAAGCAGAGGGAAACAGAGTGAGCAGAAGTGAAGCGAGTGAGCAAGGGGGAAGAGAGTGAGAAGAGAAGGGGGGAAGTGATTGAGCCGGGGAAACAGAATGAGGAAGGGGGGAGAGAATGAGCAAGGGGGAAAGAGAACGAGCGAGGGGGAAGAGAATGAGCAAGGGGGAAGAGAATGAGCAAGGAGGAAGAGAATGGGCATGGGCAACGGTAAAGGAAGCGAGAGCGAAGAAGAGGGGAAGCTCGAAGAAGAGTGAGCGTTGGGAATGAGAGCGAGCCAGGAGGAAGGGGGTTGAGCAAAGGGAGAAAGAGAGCTGAAAGAGAGCTAGCATGGGGAAAGAGGGGTGAGAACAGGTGAAAAGGGAGTGAACAGGGGGGGGCAGGAGTGTGTGAAGCGGCAGATGGGTCAAAACACAGCAACTGGCACCAGCGCCCTTCCCTCTCTCACACCCTCGCCCGTGGCCAGTGCATGTCTGAGAAGCTTCTCTTGCTCAGCCATGCGGGCCAGAGCAGCCTTGTCCGTGCTGCCCTCGCCGAACAGCGCCGCCACGCCTCCGCCGCTGCCTGGCGTGTGCTGATGGCATGCGCCTTGTGCACGTCGAGATTGACCTTCTCCGCGTGCTTACATGCCACGTCCACCATCTTCGCCTGCCCCGTGGGGGGAAAGAGGGCGGGGAGTGGGGAGAGGAGGGAGAGAGCGGCAGGCAGGGATAGAAAGAGAAAGAGGAGGGAGGGATCGACAGAGATAGAAAGAAAGGGGAGAGGGTGAAGGGGTGATAGGAAAGGGGGGAGGGTACGCAGGGGGGTGACGGAGGACATTCATGAAGGAAAGTGAGCGCAATCAGGGGGGGAAAGTGAGCGCAATCAGGGGGGGAAAGTGAGCGCAATCAGGGGGGGAAAGTGAGCGCAATCAGGGGGGGAAAGTGAGCGCAATCAGGGGGGGAAAGTGAGCGCAATCAGGGGGGGAAAGTGAGCGCAATCAGGGGGGGAAAGTGAGCGCAATCTGGGGGGAAACTGAGCGTACGCAGGGGGGGAAACTGTGCGCAATCAGGGGGATAAACTGAGCGCAATCAGGGGGGGGAACTATAACGGGGTGGAAAACCAGGGCGTCGGCGCGAGAGAGGGGAATGGGCATGGGCGACGGAGAGAGGAAGAGAGGGCGAATAAGATGGGAATGAGGACGACGTCGACGCAGCAACAGGTGGGAGAGGAGAGGTCCACCGGGCGAGCGATGGGGAGGGGAAGCGAGGGCGACGGGCGGGGGAAGCGAAGGCGACGGGCGGGGGAAGCGAAGGCGACGGGCGGGGGAAGCGAAGGCGACGGGCGGGGGAAAGCGAGGTCGGCGGGCGGAGGAAGCGAGGGCGACGGGCGAGGCGAGGGTGGTAGGCGGGGAAAGCGAGAGCGACGACGGGGGAAGCGAGGGCGACGGGCAAGGGAAGCGAGGTCGACGGGATGGGAGAAGCGAGGGCGGGCGGAGGAAGCGAGGGCGACGGGCCGGGGGTGGCGAGGGCGACGGGCGAGGCGAGGGCGGTGGGCGGAGAGAGCAAGGGCGACAGTCGAGGGTCGCGAGGTCGGCAAAGTGCTAATTTCTCATTTCCTCACGCCCATTTTCTCCGTGCTTGACACTCGCATCTTGCGCCTGCGTTTCCCTTCGATTGCATATACGCGCTGCATCTACTAATTCGGGTTGTCTGAGATGTGTTCACCCAAAAACCCTAGCTGGTGTGTGTTGCTTGTATTTCCACCAGTGAATGAGTTGTTAGCTGTTATGTCGCACCGATTTTCCTACTCTGCTCCAGCCCTCAGGTTGTCGCTTTTTGTTTTCGTTAGCTCGCAACTTTCGCGATTCTTACAAACCTCACCCAAACCAAACCGAACCCAACCCGCACCTAGCGTTGACTCAAAAATGTAATTCAGGCTGCGGGTTTTAAAGCCGGCAGCCCAAATTGCACAAGTTTTAAAAGGTTGACGCGAGGGGGTTTTTGTGGTGAGGGTTTTGGCGAAAGATTCCAATTTCGTTTTTTTCGTTTTTTTTCGCCAAACCCAGCCCGCCCTCGTATTTCGCCCTGGGGGTTGGTTCAGTTCCCAAAAGTCCCAAATTGCAGGCACGCTTTTCTTCAAACCTTGAAAACACTAGTTCGTCAAGTTTTAAAAGCTTGACCCGCGCGGCCCGCAATTTGGGACTCGGGCTTTAAACGTCCCTAAAAGTGAATCTGAGGCCCTGCAGTAGAATCATCAGCGTGTTTATGTGTGACTACATAAGGCGAACATCAGCTTAGACTGCTAATAAAACCACTTAATATCATTTTTATCTTATGGTGGTATACCAGTTCAAATTCTCTGTTTTTTTACCATCTTCACGTAGAAAATGGTTTGTTTTGATGCAGAATGGGCACAAAACGTGGGCCATCCCTATGCGATTCGTACTGTAAATCATGCTTTCATCATGACCAAAGAAGCCTTTGTTTATGAAGCTTAACTATTGAAAACTGTCCAATTTTAGCTGCACTTGAAACGCGTATGCGCTGTTTTGCGCCACATCGCCAACACCCCGAGCAGGTGGCGTATGGCGGCCACAGGGTTCGCCTCCCTGCCTCCACCCACACCCATCACTTGGGCCCTCTCGCCACCTTTTGAACGTTGCAACTCCTTTACTCGCTCGCCTCCCGTGTGATGCGCTACCGACTAGCGCCTCCCGTGTGATGCGCTACCGACTTTTGCCTCCCGTGTGATGCGCTACCGACTATCGCCACCCGTGTGTTGCGCTACCGACTATCGCCTCCCGTTTGATGCGCTACCGACTATCGCCTCCTCACCACCTCTGCACCCACATTTCCGCCGCCTGCTCGTAGCGCCGCACAGTTGCTCGCCGCCGCCGCCGCTGCCGCCGCCGTCGTCGTCGTCGCCGCTGCCGACGTTGTGTGCGCAGCACCGCGCGGGCCGACCATCGCTAGCGGAACACGCGGGTGCGGCTAGCCCGCTCCGTGCAGCGACGTCCGTCCGCCGCGCATCAACAGCGCGCGCCATGCTCGCGCGTGTGCCCATCGCCAGTGCAATGACGATCAGGCCTGTCGCCGCTCATTCCTCCCCATGCCTCGCCGCATCCCAATCGCGCATACCGCCGACGGGCCCCGTTGGACCGCTGACCCTCTGCTTCGCCGCGCCCTCCTCGCGCTTTGCCTGAGCTGCCAGCGGACCGGCTGCTGAGCCATTAGTGTGACGGCCTGCCGCAAAGATGGCGACGGCTGGCAGGCAGACGCTGACGTCATCGGGGTCGGGCAAGATCGAGCAGGCGAATCTGGTGGCGGTGCGATTTGAGTTCAAAATTCACCTCGTCGAGGTCAGCTCCGCCCCCTCGTCTGCCTCCGCTGGTCCTGCTTCCCCGGCCGCCCCACTTCCCCCTTCCCCCGCTTCCCCTTCCCTCGTCCGGCTTCCCCCCTTCCCGCTTCCTTCGTCGTTCCTTGCGTCTTCCGCTCCCCACCTCATCTGCGTGCCTCCCCTCGTCCCCGCACGCCTGCCTCCGCGCCTCTGAGCGATATCCAGCCCCCTCTCTCTCCCTCTTCCCCCATTCTCCCTCCCTCGTCCCCTCACCCCCCCTATGCCCGTTCCCCGCCAACCGCCCGCCATCACCGCAGCTGCGCGGGTGGCTGCGCGCCTCCCCGCCGCTCATCATCCGCTGGCAGCGCGGGGACAGCCGCGCGGGCCTCTCCGCGCCCGTGTGGCCCCCCGACGGCCCCCACGTGCCGCTCAACCACACCTTCCGGGTACGCTGTGAGTGCACTCCCGCTTTGGGGACGGTTGGAGGGGGGGGAGAGAAGAGGTGGACGGATGCTGGGTGGTGTGGGGGGTGGGTGGGTTTGAGGCGGTGGGCGGGGCGGGTTGTGGTGGGCGGCGGTGGTGGCGGGTGGTGGTGGGCGGGTGGGCTGTCATCTCTAGGCGGCTGTGTTGCGCCGCTGCACTCATCGTCACTCACGCCAGCGCTCCCTCCTCCTCAGTGCTGAACCCCTTCCAACCCCCGCTCATGCTTAATCCACCTACTCCCACCCCTCGCTCCCCCACCCACCCCCGCCCATGTGGTCACGCCCTTCCTCTCCCACTCTCTCCCCCCCTTCTCGGCCCACCTCTCCAACCCCACTATCCCCACCCCACACCCTCTTCCCGCCCCCACCCCGCGACCCGCCCCTCCACCTTCCCAACCACTCCCATCATCCACCTCCCCCCACTCCCATCATCCTCCTCCCCCGACTCCCTTTCCCCCTTTTTCCTCCCCGTTCCCCCTTCCCCCCCCCTCCCTTTCCCCTTTTCTCCCTCTTCCCCCCCGCTTTCCCCCTTTTCCCCCCTTTTCCCCTTTTTACTCCCCCTTGCCCCACCACTCGCGCGCCTCGTCCTGTGTGGGGGGCGCAGATCCCAGTGACGCTGTACAGGGAGAGGGGCGCCCCCACGGCGCCCTACCTGCGCAAGGCAGCCACCTTCACGCTCCACCACGCGCTGCCCGCCGCCGCCGCCCACCCGAGCCACCCACCCGATGCACCATCCGAGCCTGCTTTCCAGGCTCGGCCCGAGCCTCTGGGGCGGGCGCAGCTGGACCTGGCTGAGCTGGCGGACTGCGACGGGGCGGTGGAGCGCCGCCTCAAGGTGGCGCCCGGGCCCGCCATGCTCGCTGACGTGGCGGCTGCTGATAGGCCGGCGGGGGCGGTGCTGGTGGTGAGCGTGGAGTGCGTTGGGAAGAAGCTCAGCCGCGAGGCGGCTGCTGAGGAGGCCCAGTGGTATGCCGGGGGGGGAGGGGCGCAGGGCATGGGCGCATGGGCATGGGCGCATGGGCATGGGCGCATGGGCATGGGCGCATGGGCATGGGCGCATGGGCATGGGCGCATGGGCGCATGGGGGCATGGGGCATGGGAGCATGCATGGGAGCATGGGAGCATGGCGTAAGGAGGGAGTGTGCTGGGTTGGTGTGATGGCCATTGAAGCGAGAGGGTGGGCGTGGGGTGGGGGGTTGATGGTATGGTAGCATTGGAGAGGTAGCTGGGTGCGGGGCAGGGCAGTGCATGCGATGGGTGGAGTGCATGCGATGGGTGGAGTGCATGCGATGGGTGGAGTGCATGCGATGGGTGCAGTGCAGGGTGGGGAGAGTGGAGAGGGGTGAGGTGGAACAAGAGGAGGGCAGCGGTGAGAGCGGGGCGAGACAGGGACGGTCAGGGGAGAGGGGTACCTGTGTTGTGGGCACGGCAGGTTTGAATCCGTTGTGTTGCCATAGCCATGCCTGCCCCCCATGCGTGGGGTTACAGCCATGCGTGGGGTCGTCCGTGGGTGCAAGGAGTGCAGCCATGGGAAGGCAACATCCAAGGCTCCACTCCATGCCCCACCATCCTCCTCCATGCCCCACCGTCCCGCTGCCACTCATGCCCTTGGCTGCTCTTGTGCCCCCCATCCGCCACCCATGCTGCCCCCATCCATCCCCCCTCCCAGCCTTGCAGCCCCCAGGGGTCATCGTCGCAACGCCTCCTCGCCGCTGCTGCCCTCCACCGCTCTGCACCGCGCGCCCGCCCCCTCGCACCTGCGTGCCTCCCCTCCGGCGTCGGGGTGTGTGTCGCCCGGCGTGCCATCAGCAGGCAGCGCGGGGTCATCGCTGGGCGAGGCCAACTTCCCTGCCCTGCCCGCGCTGCCCCCGGGGGCGGGCGGCGCGCTCACACAGGGCGACGCGCATGGGGTGCCCCATGGCCATGGCCGTGGGCCGTGGCAGCACGGGCAGGCTGTAGCAGAGAGAGAGGCGGATGGTGGGGAGGTGGAGAGGGACGAGAGAGAAGCAGCAGGGGGGGCAGCAGAGGGAGAAGGTGTGCAGAGCGGTGGCGATGTGAGCAGACGCAAGCAGCAGAGGCAGACGTGCAGAGGTGGCAAAACAGGCGCAAGCAATGGGTTGAGAGGAGTGAGGGAGCCGGGGGAAGATGTGGGAGAGGAGGTGCGGATAAGAAACGCTGGAGAGAGTGACGTGGCAGTGGGCGATTCTGGACCTCTCTCTGCCACTCCCTCCCCCTCTACAACGTTAGCAGTGCCTGCCAAGTCAGCAGCTTCCTCATCCACGTCATCACGACCTCCCTCCCATCCTCCGTCAGCCTCTGCTTCCCCTGTGCCCTCGCGCACCTCCTCTGTCTCGTCCGCAACCTCTGCATCCACATCAGCTTCGGCGTCCACGTCAGCTTCTGCCTCGTCAGCATCCACATCAGCATGCATGACGTCATCATCATCACACTCGCCACTGGCATCACCAGCAGCATCCGCGCCCCCCTCCTCCGCCATGTCTGCCACACGCGCCTTCCGCCTCGCTGCTGCGACCCATGCGCCCTCCCCTCAGCCTCAGGTACTGCCCCTCCCCTCCCCTCGGCGTCACACTCCATTTCTTCCCCTCCCTTCCTTCCCCCTTTCCTCCACTTCCTCTCCCCTCCTCGTCAGCTCTGCTCTGTGTGCCCCCCCCTACTTGGACACGCCCACACTATCCTCTCCTCTCTGCTCGTTGTCACCGAATATGCACGGTTGTGCATATAAGGTGCCAGTAATAAGGGGGTGTAGTGATGGTGTAACTATGTTGTGTTTGCAGATTCGAGGATGGGTAGGTGGGGGCTGGGAAATTGACGCGAAGTTGGTAGGAGAGCACCAAGGGGTGAAATCCATGCAACCAATGGGAACGAACCAACCCAGGCTCGAGCCGCACATTGAGAAATGCACGGTTCGAGCCAGGGTCAGGTAAGTTCACTCTCACACACACACACAATGCTTTCTGTTTGTTATCCTTTCGTATAGTGGATTGTTGTTGCCTCAAGCATTGCATACGGGTGACACACCACTTAGGGAGGACCTTTGAGGTGAGAGTCTCGTTTCTTTCATAACAAACAGAAAGTGTGCGCGTACAAGCATGGATATGTACGAGCTGCGTTACGGCAGGAATGACGGACGCCGTGAGGAGGATCGCTCACGGCGCGAACGCTCACGTGAGCGCGGGCGTTCATTGGAGAGGTCGCCGCGGCGACCTGAGCGCTCTCCGCGGAGGCCGGCCTTTCGCGCGGATCAGGTCCCTCTTGCGCCAGATCGGCAGGAGGGAAGATCCGCTCGAGAAGGAAGAGGCGGATCCAGATCTGTCACGATGGGAAGTGACCCATGGCGGACGGACGGGCGCCACGGAGCTGAGGGCGGTCATGGGTACCGTCAGGACACGGGAGCATACCGCTCGCCGGAAGAAGGCTATCGCCGTCGCAAAGATCGTGGCCGTGGGCGAGGTCTGGAGGAGCTCTTCTCGGGTCGCCAAGGCGATCTCGATGTGGATGGAGAAGAGGAGATAGACTCGGCGAATAAGGTGCAGGAGTTGGATCGTGAAGGCGAGACCAAGGGCGATGACGAGTTCCAGGAGGAAGGCGCAGGCGAGCAGCGCGAAATGCCCGTTGGAGTCAAGGACGACGATCCCGCGCAGGCGGGCGTGGCGGCGAAGCCAAGCGCGGCGGAGGCGGACGGACAGAGCGGTCGAAATCTGCAACGCGGCGGAGAGGAAGGTGACGGCGGGGGGCGTGGCAGTGGCGGACGCTCTCCAGATCCACGTCGGCGAGGTGACGGAGCACGCGGCGGCGGCATGCGCTCGCCTGATCCGCGGCTGAATCGTGACGGAGGGCGCAGCGGCGGTGCGCGCTCGCCAGATCCACGGCTGAATCATGTGAGGGGACGTGGCGGCGGCGCGCGCTCGCCAGATCCGCGGCTAACTCGGGATGTGGGACGTGGCGGTGGCGGACGCTCGCCAGAATCGCGGCGGAGCCGTGAAGGGGAGCGTGGTGGCGGCATGCGCTCGCCAGATGCACGGGTGCTGCGGGAGGAGAAGCGTGGAGGCGGCCATCGCTCGCCAGATCCGCGGCAGCACCGAGACGGTGGGCACTGGGGCAGAGCGCGCTCACCGGATTCGCAGAGGTATCACGATTGGAGGTGCGGGGGGGGTCGGCGCTCACCTGGTCCCTATCAACCCCGTGAGGAGAGACGAGGAGGCGGCTACCGCTCGCCTGAGCAGCAGCGTTATTATGGAGAGAAGCATGGAAGTGAGGCGCGCTCGCCTGACTGGCACATGCAGTACGAAGGAAGCCGGAGAGGTGGATTCGGTTCGCAGCAACGGCATCACAGTTGGGATGAAAGACGCGGTGGGGGATCTCGCTCCCCTGGCCGATATCAGCGGCATGATGGAAGGAACGCCGATGAGGGAGGACGAGACCAACGCGACAGCAGAGAGGGAGGCAGTGGGCTGATGCACAGCCTGGAGCGGGCCAGAGAGGCAAGGGAGGGAATGCTGCGGGCGAGAGAGAGAGGAACATCAGGAAGGTCTGCAGGAGGGCCGAGTGAAGCATGGGGAGAGGGTAAGGGAAGCTCAGCAATGGTCACGAGAGTGGAGGTGCCAGCGCGCTTCTCAGGAGATCAGCGCATGGGACCCACGCTGAAGAACTACCTGATGCAAGTGGGCAACGTGCGGTACAGGTGTGAGCGGAGCGGCATGGACTCAGTGGACTTCTTCCTGAGTCTGCCGAACACCCTGGAAGGGGAGGCAGAGACACTGTATAGATGAAGATGGATGAGCTGCTGGAGAGGGCGGGGAGGTACGGGGAAGACCCCACGGAAGCATTCCTGAGGAGACTGAAGCGGCAGTTTCCAGGCCACACCGCGGAGAAGATAAGGGAATTCCAGGACTTCAGGAAGGGGCGGGGCGAGTCACTACTCACCTGTTACAACCGACTGGTTAATCTGGCGGAGGACGTGAGTTGCGCAGATATGGCCCTGCTCGTGAGTAAGTTCCTGGACGGCCTGGAGGGCGCTTTGGGAAGCGGGCTGCGGATGAAGGTGTATGAGATGGGGGCTGAAACGACGCTTGAGGAAGTGTTTGAGCTAGGAGAGAAGATGGAGCTGGCCCAGAGGAAGTACGAAGCATATCGGCAACGACCGGCGGAGCGAGGCAGAGGACCTACATGGGCCGCAGCCATGATACCCGAAGAGAAGGACAGGGCAGTGGGAAGAGGGGTCAGCAGGCCTGATACGCGGACGTGCCACCGATGCGGGCAGCCAGGGCACTTGCGCAGAGACTGCAAGAACTGTGACTCCTGTGGCAAGCCAGGGCACCGGCGGCGGGAATGTCCAACGGCACCAAAGTGTGAAATTTGTGGGAAGGGAGGGCATGCAGCAAAGGAGTGCTATCAGCGGGAGGGAGCAGCGAAGAAAACGCCAGAGGAACTGGAGAAGCAGATCAGCAGGTTGCAAGCTCTGCTGCAGGCAATGGGACCACGACGGGAAGCAGAGGCGGGGATGTACGCCAAGGAAGAGGAGGAGGAAGATGTGGAGCAGGATGAGGAGGCCGCGTTCATGGTCTGGCCGGGAAGAGAAGAGAAGGAGATAGAGCATGAGGAGCAGCCAGCGTATATGGCATGGAGAGGAAGGGAAGAGATGGGGCTGCGCAGCGGAGGAAAGGACGCCCGGAAGGAACAGGTGAGGAAGGAGCGGGAGAGGAGACAGAAACCGGAGGAAAAGGAAGAAAGGTGCACCGCGGCGCGGCACCCTCAAGAAAGGTTGGCGTGTCAAACCTCCGTGCTGCTGATCCAAGGCGGTGCATTGTCAGTGGAAGGAGAGAAGGCTAAGACGGCAATCATAGATACGGGGGCACAGAGCGTAATACTCGGAAAGGGGATGGCAGAGAAGCTGGGACTGTGGGCACCAGACAGACACGTAGTGAAGGGGATGCTAGTGATGACCGCAGAAGGGGGGGAATCAAAGTGGATGCCCTGCACCAGGACGCCGATAGAGCTGACAGTGCTGAAGGGGGAGAAGCATGAAACGCCGGTCAGGATCAGGTGTGGGATTTCGGAGTCGGAGGATTTTGACGTCTTGGTGGGCACAGAGATGATCTTCGCATTGGGCATGACTATCTGCTTTTGGAAGGAGACCGTGGAGTTTCGAACCAGGTGGTGGAGGAAGGGCGAGCCGCTAGGGCAGCTGCCTGTGCAGTTTGTCAAGACAGAGCCAAAAAGGGCTTATAAGGCAAATCTGAAGGAGGGGGCAGCGGAACAGGGGGCACAAGAGAAAGCAGCAGGCACAAGAAGGGGTGGGGAGCCTAGGATGCACTTCATGGATGAACCGAGCCAACAGACAGATTGGCAACAACCCATTCGGCTGGTGGAACTGTTCGGGGGAATAGGGGCGGGACTGGCAGCAGTGGTGCGGAACGGAATCGCCGTGAAGCAATGGATCTACGTGGAGAAGGCACCAGAAGTGAGAAAAATAGCGGAACATCATGCGTGGAAGCTGCACAAGGAATTTTCGGAACTGCTGAAGGAAGAAGTGGTCAGGGCAGCCATGAGCCGAGGAGTGAACGACGTAAGGGCGATCACGGAAGCTGAAGTGGCGAGCTGGGGGCACGTGGACCTGCTGGTGGCTGGGTGGGAGTGCCAAGGGGTATCATGGGCAGGGAAGGGCAAGGGTGAGCAAGACCCAAGGACGCAGCTGATGGAGGATCTGTTCAGGATTATGGAATGGCTGCAGGCTAGGCAGGGCAGATTGGCATACCTGCTGGAGCACTTGGACATGAGTGGGGATGTGCGAGAACCAGTGAGACTGATGAAGGAAAGAGTGACCCAGCAGGTGGGTAAAGGGGTGAGCAGTGACGCGGCGCGGATGGGAGCATACGCCCATCGGCTCAGGATGTATTGGCAGAACGTGGTGCCAGTGGAAGACCTGCAGAAGGGGTACAGAGAGCAGGGGGGCGGAAGGTGAGCGATATACTGGAGCCAGGAAGAACGCCAGCACCTGTGAACAAAAAGAGCTACAGCAGACACTATCCGTGCAAACAGGTGGGGCAGGAGAGGCAAGCACTACCCACCCTGGTGTCGTATGAGGGGGCAGCAGGATATCGGATGGATGGGGAGCAGCCGGGCCCAGGATTGGTGCATGACCATAGGAAGGGACGGTGGGAAGAGCCCACGGCCTTGGAGAGGGAGCTGGCCATGGGGTATAAAGAGAACGCCACAGCAGCCCCGGGCGTGAGCGAGAAAGAGAGGAGGCGGGCAATGGGGAACGCCATGGATGGGTACATGATGCGGTGGCTGGTGCAGCGGATGTGGAAGGAGACCGTGTTGCATTGGGGATTGAAGGAGGGAGAAAGCACAGTGGCGACGGTCAGACAGGGGGTGTGGGCATGCCTGCCGAAAGAAGAGCCCGAGTGGAAGATAGGTGAGAGTATGAGTGAGGGAGGGAAGACAGCAATGCGGGCACTGTTGGTTAAGCATAGGAAGGGCTTCGCTTTCACCCTGCAGGAGTTGGGGAAATGCAAGATCAAGGAGATGGCACTGAAGCTGAGCAGTGATGAGCCGGTGTTCCACCGCAGGAGGAAGATGCCACCAGGGGATGAGGCGATCTGCAGGGAGAAAATAAAGGAGTTACTGGAAGACGGACTGATTAGGAGGTCAGAGTCTGAGTACGCTACCCCGACCGTGGTGGCAGCCAGGAAGGATTTTACAGGCGAGGTGCTGAGCCGGAGGATGTGCGGGGATTACAGAGATCTTAACAAGATCACAATGCCGGATAGGTACCCAATGCCGATGGCGGAAGAACTCTTTGACAAGCTGGCCGACGGGGTGTACTTCACGACGCTGGACCTGCGCCAGGGATTCAATCAAATCAAGATCAGAGAAGAAGATGTGAAGAAAACGGCCTTCCACGGACCGGACGGGTTGTACGAGTGGCTGTACATGCCCTTTGGTCTGAGGAACGCCTCGGCGGTGTTCCAGCGAGTCATGGACGCGGTGCTGCGGGAGATAGAGCACGCAGCGTGCTATATCGACGATGTCGTGATCTTCAGCTTGACCGAGCAGCAGCACCTGGAGGATGTGGAAAGGACACTGACGGCTATAGAAGAGGCAAGGGCTCACGTGTCACCCTAACAAGTGCAGATGGGGGGAGCAGACGGTGCAGTACCTGGGGTACGAGGTCACAGGGGGGCAGATTGGGATCCAGCAAGCGAAGGGGCAGGTGCTAGACAGGCTGAGGGAACCGAGAGACAAGTCAGGGCTGCGTGCAGTCTTGGGCTTCCTCAGCTATTATAGACGCTTTGTGCCGAACTTCAGCAAGAGAGCGACGGTGTTGAATGGGATGCTGCGAGAGGACAAGGCATGGGAGTGGGGAGAGAAGCAGAGGGAGGCACTGCAAGACCTCATGTCAGCTGTAAAGACGGCAACAGTATTGCGGCTGCCAGCAGCAGACCAGCCCTTCATCCTCTACACCGACTGGAGCAGCCAGGGGATGGGGGCAATACTGTGCCAAGAAGTACAGGGAGTGGAGAAGGTGGTGGCCTACGCCAGCAGGAGCTGCAACCCAGCAGAGGCGCAGTACAGCTCATACATTGGGGAGGGGCTGGCGGCAGTATGGGCGGTAGGACATTTCCGGGTATACCTACAGGGCAGAGAGTTTACACTAGTCACGGATCACCAGCCACTCACATGGCTGATGACGACGCCAGGCCTGACAGGAAGGAACGCGCGGTGGGCAGTAAAGCTGCAAGAATACGATTTCAAGATCAGGCACAGGCCGGGGAAGACACTGCAGCACGTTGATGGCCTTTCCCGCAACCCACCGCCGCTAGAAACAGAACAGGCAGCACAGGGGACGGAAAGGACAGAGCAGGAGCCAGCGCAGACCTTGATACTGCTGGCAAGGGAGGTGGAGCGGGCTGGTGCAAAAGGGAGTAAAGGGCCAGCTGACATCTGGCAGGATGCAAAGGCAATGGAGTGGTTGAAGGGAGAGACTGAGGAAGATGAGACAGTGCCCGAAAGGGTGAGGGCACGAGGGCACCACTACAGGTGGTATCAGCAGCAGCTGCAGATCAAGACGGAGGATGGCTGGAAGCTGGTGCCAGCGCCCGAGGAGCGTGAAGCAGTGATCAAGGAAGTACACACCAAGCTGGAACATTTCGGGCACGAGAGGACCGTGCATCTGCTGAAGACGGGCTGGTGGTGGGAAGGGATGCGCAGGCAGGTGAAAGAGTGGGTGGAGGGGTGTGAGGCATGTCAGAGGAGCAAAGCAAATCTGACGCAGGCCAAAGCAGAGCTGCACTCACTGCCCATCTGCGGGCTGGGGTTTCGCTGGTCCCTAGACCTCGCGGGAGAGTTGCCGCTGAGCAGGAGCGGGAATCAGTATATAGTGTTCATGGTGGAACATGTGAGTAAGTGGCTGGAAGTGAGGGCCATACCGAGCAAGAGCGCAAGGCACATTACAGCAGCCTTCAAAGCGCAGGTGGTGTGCCGATTTGAAGCATGCGGGGAGGTGCTCACAGATCATGGAACGGAGTTCCAGGGAGAGTTCAAGAAGTTGCTGGAGGAGTCTGGCATCACGCACCGAAGGACCTCCCGCTACCACCCGCAGAGCGACGGGCTGACTGAGCGAGCCGTGCAGACCTTTAAGCGGGGACTGCGGGCCTATGGGGAGCAGAGGAAGAGAGACTGGGATGAGGAGTTGGACTGGATAGCAGCAGGGTACAGGTTCGGAAAATAGGCAGCTTTGAAGGACCATTCCCCGTACAGCCTACTTTACGGACGAGAGCCCATACTGCCAGTGGGGGCACCGCGGGTATTGACAGACACAGTGACGGCGGGCATGATCAAGAACTGGGTAGCCCTGTCCGAGGTGAGAGCGCGCTACATGCGCTACATGATGCCAGCAGCACTGGAGAACCTGCACACCGCACAGCTGAGGGATGCCAGGAGATATGAACAGAGACAGCGCAAGGGAGAAGGACGAGCGATAAGGGGCGTCAGCGAAGGGCAGGAGGTGTATCTCAAGAGAGCAAAGCAGGACACCCTGGATGTAGGGCTGGGGACAGTCCGCTGGAAGGTCAAGGAGGTGCGCCCTTCGGGGGTGCTGGTCCTGGAGAATGACACGGGGGCGCAGTTAAAGGAGCATCAAACGTACGCTGCAGTGATCAGAGGAAGCGGGCCTCAGCGTAGTGGTCCTGTGACCCGCGCTCAAGCTGCGCAAGCACGGGCACAGGAGGGGGCAGAGGGTGGCTGAGGCAGCTGGAGTAAGGGAAGATGAACATGAGGACTAAGGCAGATAGGGGAATAGCTGTATCTCCGACAGCTGTCACCGAATATGCACGGTTGTGCATATAAGGTGCCAGTAATAAGGGGGTGTAGTGATGGTGTAACTATGTTGTGTTTGCAGATTCGAGGATGGGTAGGTGGGGGCTGGGAAATTGACGCGAAGTTGGTAGGAGAGCACCAAGGGGTGAAATCCATGCAACCAATGGGAACGAACCAACCCAGGCTCGAGCCGCACATTGAGAAATGCACGGTTCGAGCCAGGGTCAGGTAAGTTCACTCTCACACACACACACAATGCTTTCTGTTTGTTATCCTTTCGTATAGTGGATTGTTGTTGCCTCAAGCATTGCATACGGGTGACACACCACTTAGGGAGGACCTTTGAGGTGAGAGTCTCGTTTCTTTCAGAGGGTAGCTGAGGCAGCTGGAGTAAGGGAAGATGAACATGAGGACTAAGGCAGATAAGGGAATAGCTGTATCTCCGACATCGTCCGCACTCCCCACCTCCCCACATGCTCTTTTCTCCTCTCCTCTCGCCTCCCCCCCTCATGCACCCCGCCAGCCAGCCCCGGGGGCCAGGCAGCGCAGGAAGGCATCTCGCCGCTCGCAGTCGTATGGCGGCGCTGAGCTTGCAGCCTTCCACGCCGCCCCTTCTGCACCGCCTCCACCACCACACGCTGCAGCAGCAGCAGCACAAACGTCACCAGAAGCTGCCTGGGAAGATCCCGCTGATGCTGCCACTGCTCCCGCTGACGCCACTAATGCAGTCACCATTATATCAGCCGAGGCCAGCAGCACCCAGCATGCCTCATTGGTGGCAGCTCTGGTGAGTGCCCATCGCACTTCCATTCTTCACTCCCTCGCTCATCTCCCATCCCTGCTACTAACTCTCCATGTCTGTATTGCCTGTCCACCTTCCCTTGCTCCCTCCCCCCCCTTCCCATCTGATGTTTTTACTATCTCTTCGCCTCTGCAATCTTGCTTGCGTTTCCACTTGCACTCTCTTCCCCTGTTCACCCTTCTCTCTTGTACACCATCCTCTCCCGTCCACCCTCCTCTTTCTTTCAACCCCTCTGTCCCCCCCAGAGGGCGCAGCGCAAGGCAGCGGGCAGGCGGCACTCGTACGGGGGGCAGGAGCTCACTGCCATGCAAGCTGCACTCACACAGCCCCTCGCCACCGCCGATGCCGGCAGCACCAGTGACAGCAGCAGCACTGCCGGCAGCGGCACTGGCAGCAGGGCGGGCAGGCGGCGGGCGGCAGGGGGCAGCATGGACGTGCCCGCTCGCCCCGCCATGGCCCTCACGCGCTTCAGCCGCCATGCCAAACCGCCCCTCGCCACGCCCCCCTCCTCCCTCCCCCCCACTGCCGCTGCCACGCCCCTGGCCACCACGCCCCTGGCCCCACCGTCCGCCAGCAGTGCGCCCGCAGCCACTCCTCCCCTCCTGCCCCCGCCCAGCCTCCTGGCTCAGGCTGAAGCGCCGCCATCCCAAGCCACCCCTGCCGCTGCCGCTGTCGCTGTTGCTGCTGCTGCTGTAGGGGTGGCTGCTGGTGAGTCTGGGAAGGCAAGGCGTGGGGGTGGCAAGGAGAGGGCGGGTGGGGGTGGCAAGGAGAGGGCGCGGGGCATGAGGCAGATTGAGGCAGAGCTGCAGCAGAGGAGAGAGGCCGCCGCAGCCAGGGCAGCAGGCGGCACGGCAGAGGCAGCAGAGCAAGGCAGCGGGGCTACCGGGGCAGTGGAGGATGGTCCATGGGGGCAGCAGGTGGGGCACGTGGCGGTGGTGCGCGGGCAGGTGAGGGCAACATCGCTGGCAGAGCTGTACCGCGCCGCGGGGAGGGGCGGCGACCTGGACGGCGCAAGGAACGTGGCGCCGGCCCACGCCCTGCCCCATGTGCTCGCTGCCCCCCCCGCCCCGCTCTGCCCGCCCTTGCCCCTTGAGCCCCACCCGGGCTTGCTGCCGCACCTTCCCATTCCCCCGCCCCTGCCTGTGCCGCCTGCCCCTGCTGCCCCTGCGACATCCCAGTGCACGGCAGGCACAGGCACAGGCACAGGCACAGGCACAGGCACAGGCACAGGCACAGGCACAGGCACAGGCACAGGCACAGGCACAGGCACAGGCACAGGCACAGGCACAGGCACAGGCACAGGCACAGGCACAGGCACAGGCACAGGCAAAGGCAAAGGCACAGGCAAAGGCAAAGGCACAGGCACAGGCACAGGCACAGGCACAGGCACAGGCACAGGCACAGGCACAGGCACAGGCACAGGCACAGGCACAGGCACAGGCACAGGCACAGGCACAGGCAAAGGCAAAGGCACAGGCAAAGGCAAAGGCACAGGCACTGGCACAGGCACAGGCACAGGCACAGGCACAGGCACAGGCACAGGCACAGGCACAGGCACAGGCACAGGCACAGGCACAGGCACAGGCACAGGCACAGGCACAGGCACAGGCACAGGCACAGGCACAGGCACAGGCACAGGCACAGGCACAGGCACAGGCCCATCCCCAAGCATCTCACCCCCTTCCGTCCTCTTCTCCTCCACCTCTCCCCTCGTCGTCGCTATACCTCCCTGCACTGCCACTGCCCCATTCCCCCCCGCCGCTGCTCCTCCCCCTCCTGCCTCTGCCTCTGCGGCTTTTCCCCCTTGCCACCCCCCGCCCACTGCGTCGTCCCCTCCTGCCTCGCGCCCCCCCTCCCACCGCGACCTACTGGTGAGTGGCACATGGCTGGGGGGGGAGGGGGGGAAGGAGGGAGGGAGAGGGGAGCGGAGTGAAATTGGTGGGAAAGAGGGGGAAAGGGTGGGGGGATTGTGACAACAGGGGGCAGGGTTGAGGGAAATGGGGGAGAAGAGTGGGCGAGGGAGAGGTGGAGGCAAGAGGAGTTCACTAAAGGTTTGAGTGGTGTGGTGCGGTGCTGGCATGCAGGGCGGGTGGCACGCAGGGCGGGTGGCATCTCCCAACACCACAGCCCACTCCATGCCCGTCCCTCCCCCATCATCGTCCCTCTTGCATTCTGCTTCCTCTCCCCCTCTCCCCCGCCATCGCCTCACCCTACCACTTCCCCACCCTCCCCCCTCCCCTCCCTCTCCTGCTTTGATCCCCTCTCCTGCTTTGATCCCCTCTCCTGCTTTGATCCCCTCTCCTGCTTTGATCCCCTCTCCTGCTTTGATCCCCTCTCCTGCTTTGATCCCCTCTCCTGCTTTGATCCCCTCTCCTGCTTTGATCCCCTCTCCTGCTTTGATCCCCTCTCCTGCTTTGATCCCCTCTCCTGCTTTGATCCCCTCTCCTGCTTTTATCCCCTCTCCTGCTTTGATCCCCTCTCCTGCTTTGATCCCCTCTCCTGCTTTGATCCCCTCTCTTGCTTTGATCCCCTCTCCTGCTTTTATCCCCTCTCCTGCTTTTATCCCCTCCCCTTACTCAGAGGGCGCGCAAGGCAGCGCACAGCCGGCGCCCGCACTCGCTGGGGGGGGGGGAGTTTGCCGCACTCAGACTCGCCCACACCCCCACAGGAGGGTCGCCAGATTCCTCCACCGCTCTGCACCGCTCTCCACTCTCTTCCTCCTCCCGCCCCATAAATCCCGTTGCTGCTGTCGCCCTGGCCACGCTGCCCCGCCCTTCCATCTCCTCGCCTGCCCCTCCTGCTGCCCCTTCTGCCAGCGCAGAAGATGAGAGTGGGAGGAAGCGGCAGAGCAACAAGGGCATGAGGCAGGCAGCGGGAGGAGGGGCAGCAGCAGCAGCAGCAGCAGCAGTCAGCGGGTGTGGTGGCAGCACAGGCTGACGTGGCGAGCATGGTGGAGATGCCACGGGCTGCCACCACGGGCAGCATTCACACCACACCTGCCACCACCAGTGCTGCAGGTACTGCTTTCAGGAGGTGTGGGTCTCATGATGCGCCCTGCCTGCCCGCACACACACAGCACTCGCCCCGGGGAGGGGAGGGCAGCACAGGGGGGAGCGCAGAGCACGTGGCAGCAGCACCGCGTGCACAAGGTGGAGCAGCAGCATGGGCAGGCGCTGCCGGCGCTCACATGCCCCTCCCCTCTGCGCTGCCCCATGACCCAGCACTCCCCTCCGCCCTCCCTGGCCCTCTGCCTCTGCTGCACCGCCCTCCCACTGCCCTCGCTCCCACTGCCCTCGCCTCCGCTTCCCCTGCCTTGTCAGCTGGCTCTCCTGTGACGTCAGCAGGGTCGCCTGCCATGTCAGCAGGATCCCCAGCCTCCCTGTCCAATGAGCACGCGCCACGTGGCGCACAGCAGGCAGCAGCAGTGGCGGAGCTGAGGAGCAAGCTGAGGGTGCTGCTGGCGCCGGCGGCAGCAGAGCAGGCAGGCACGGGGGCGAGCAGCGACGTGGGCAGGCGGGGGGATGCCTGGGTTAAAGAGAGCCAACTGCCGCCACCTGTGGCGCCCGCTCCGCCCGCAACAGCTGGTGCCTCAGGCTCTCCCCCTTTTCACTCCTCCACAGCACACCCAACCTCTGGCCTCCCTGCCCCACACCACCACCCCCCCTCGCCTCCTCCCCTGCAACGCTCGCTCTCGGACCCACACACCCCGCGCCCCTCCGCCACGACCTTCCCCCTCGTCACTCCTCCCTCCCCCAATACAGTCTCAGCGCCGCGCTCGCCCGTTCCCCCGCCCTCTGCGCGCGCCCTGGGCTTTGCGTGTGCGCGCCGCCCCTTCATGCTGCCGCCCGACTGGCACGAGCGCAGCGGTGCTGAGAGCGCTGAGAGGCCACGCAGTGCAGAGGGGGAGAGAGGAGGGAGGGGCGTGCGGGCGTTCACATCAGTGGGGCACCGCGGGCTGCTGCCACGCGGCGTGCATGCAGGGGGGGCGGCAGCAGCAGCAGGAGCAGCAGCAGGGGGCGCGGGCAGCCATTCCGCCCTGACGGCTCGCGAGGTGCTGGCAGCACTGCGGCGCGTGCCGGGGCCGTACAGCTCGGGGCGGCTGGACGAGGTGGACGGCGTCGATGACGCCCTGCTGGGCGCTGGTGCCACGCCCAGAGTAGCGGGGGGTGGGGCGGGTGGTGGTGGTGGTGGTGGTGGTGGCGGCGGCGGAGGAGGTTCAGCGTGCTGGCTGTGGCGAGAGAGGTGGTGGAGAGGGAAGGCGGAGGGGCAGAGGGGGGCAGTGGCGATTATGCGAGTGGAGGTGACGCGGAGAGGGGAAAAGGTGGTGCGGAGGGCAGAGGAGAAGATGGGGAAGGCAGCGAGGACTCAGAGAGTGACGGCGATGGGGAGGGCGAGGAGGCAGCACGAGTGCGCATGGAGTGGAGGCGGGTGAGGAAGGAGAGGCAGCTGGTGGAGCAGGAGAGGGGCGAGGTGCAGCGCGTGCAGCGTGAGGTGGCGCGCTTCAAGCAGTGGGCGCACGACGAGCAGCAGCGGCTGCAGGGGGAGAGGCAGCGCGTGGAGGCGGAGAAGCAGCGCCTGGCGCCCTTTGAGGCGCGGTACCGCGCCTGGCAGCACCGCATCGCAGCGCAGGACGCCGCCACGGCCGCCCTGCGAGCGCACGCCAGCGCTGCCGCCACGGCCACGGCACACGTGGCGGCGCACACACACTCCCTGCGCCTGCACCTCGCCTCCGCCGCCCACCTCCTCGCCGCCACCAAGCAGCGCCTCGCTCACGACCGTGCCTCCGTGGCTGGCGCTCTGGCTCGGGCTGCAGAGGCTGAGGAGCGGGCACAGGCCGCGGAGAGGAGGTTCGGGAAGTTGCCGTGGGAGGTGCGGAGCGCGAGTGGCGTGGCGCGGGCGGTGCATGGCGTGGCGGCCCGGCATGGTTCGCCCGTGCTGCGCCTGCACGCCCCCGCCATGCGGTTGGCTCGTATAGTGGCCGTGGCATGGCGGGGCGGGACGAGTGAGGGGGCGGGGGAGGGGGCGGGGGTGGAGGAGAAGGAGGAGTTGTGGGGAGGAGTGGGGGAAATGGGCGAGGGGCGAGAGGAGGGCGGGCACAGGGGAGGGGAGGAGGGAGAGGGGAATGCATGGCAAGGGTGGCGTGCAGGCAAGGAAGGGATGGTGGTGGGCGAGGGGCACGCAAGGGAGCAGCGAGGTGAGGAGGGCAAGGCGCGTGGGTTGACAGGGGAGCACGTGGCACGCGTGGCAAGGGAGGTCATGCGCGCACTGCTGCTGGCGGCTCGGGCAGCGAGTGACAACCCATCGCGGGTGCTCTTCTGGTGGTCCAACACGGCCCTGCTGCGCTCCGCCCTGGCGCCCCTGGTGGCGGAGGAGCGGAGGAGGAACAGGGAGGGGAGGAAGGGTGAGGGGGCCACAGGTGGTGGTGTTGGGAATGGTGTTGCTGCTGCGAATGGTGGCGGTGGTGCATGTTGGCGTGGCACAGGTGATGACAGCAGGGGAGAGCACCCTCAGGTCCCTGGGGATTCTGAGGACCCCTGGCGCACCTTGGCGTATCTTGAGTCGCAGCTGCTGCAGCTGGAGCAATGGCAGCACGACAGGTGTCTGCACCTGGTGTGGACACGTGTCTTCCTGCCAGCCATGCAGCAGCGCCCTCCTGTGCTGCCCCGTCCCTTCCACCCGCCATCACACACCCCCCCCTTCACCCCCTCCTGGTCCTCCGCCCTCCTCTGCTCTGCCGCTGCCTCCCACCAGGCGTCCCTATGGCCCTTCTCCGCCCCCGCGCCCCCGCCGCCCTCACTCACAGGTGCCTTCACCCTTCGCCCTTCACTTAGGGAGGTCTGCTGCTCTAATTAACTTCTTTTTTCTCCCAAGAGTCTCACTGCTGCTGGCTAGTTGGTGCCCTCTCAAGTCTCCATGCATGCCTCGCTCAAGTCTCCATGCATGCCTCGCTCAAGTCACTTTCTCATCATCTCATGTATGTTACTCACGCACTTCCTTCCCCGGGAACGCTCACCTCAATCAAACCTTACCGCTGCACGTCACCCGTCAGGCCCGCTTCCCCTCTCCCCCTCTCTCCCCTCTCCCCCTCTTCCCCTCTCCCCCTCTTCCCCTCTCCCCCTCTTCCCCTCTCCCCCTCTCCCCCTATCCCGCTCTTCCCCTCTTCCCGTCTCCCCTTATGTGCAGCGGAGGAGGCACAGGCACCCTGGTGGGCGGGGCTGAGTGGTACAGAGCGGTGGGTGGCGGTGATGCACGAGGCAGCTGCGATGCTGTGTCCCCACAGGGCCATGGGCCACCACTGCGGCTGCCTCTATCCTCTTTTCAAGCAGGTCAGTGCTGCCTCTACCCGCTACTCACGCAAACACTTCCATGCCACCACCACGACTTATCACCCGCCTCACACCACGGTAAGCGCCTCACACCACGGTAAGCGCCTCACATCACGGTAAGCGCCTCACACCACGGTAAGCGCCTCACACCACGGTAAGCGCCTCACACCACGGTAAGCGCCTCACACCACGGTAAGCGCCTCACACCACGGTAAGCGCCTCACACCACGGTAAGCGCCTCACACCACGGTAAGCTTCTCTCAGCATCTCACAGCGCAGATCCAGTCCTCTCCTTCCATTGCTTTGTCCTCTCCTTCCATTGCTTTGTCCTCTCCTTCCATTGCTTTGTCCTCTCCTTCCATTGCTTTGTCCTCTCCTTCCATTGCTTTGTCCTCTCCTTCCATTGCTTTGTCCTCTCCTTCCATTGCTTTGTCCTCTCCTTCCATTGCTTTGTCCTCTCCTTCCATTGCTTTGTCCTCTCCTTCCATTGCTTTGTCCTCTCCTTCCATTGCTTTGTCCTCTCCTTCCATTGCTTTGTCCTCTCCTTCCATTGCTTTGTCCTCTCCTTCCATTGCTTTGTCCTCTCCTTCCATTGCTTTGTCCTCTCCTTCCATTGCTTTGTCCTCTCCTTCCATTGCTTTGTCCTCTCCTTCCATTGCTTTGTCCTCTCCTTCCATTGCTTTGTCCTCTCCTTCCATTGCTTTGTCCTCTCCTTCCATTGCTTTGTCCTCTCCTTCCATTGCTTTGTCCTCTCCTTCCATTGCTTTGTCCTCTCCTTCCATTGCTTTGTCCTCTCCTTCCATTGCTTTGTCCTCTCCTTCCATTGCTTTGTCCTCTCCTTCCATTGCTTTGTCCTCTCCTTCCATTGCTTTGTCCTCTCCTTCCATTGCTTTGTCCTCTCCTTCCATTGCTTTGTCCTCTCCTTCCATTGCTTTGTCCTCTCCTTCCATTGCTTTGTCCTCTCCTTCCATTGCTTTGTCCTCTCCTTCCATTGCTTTGTCCTCTCCTTCCATTGCTTTGTCCTCTCCTTCCATTGCTTTGTCCTCTCCTTCCATTGCTTTGTCCTCTCCTTCCATTGCTTTGTCCTCTCCTTCCATTGCTTTGTCCTCTCCTTCCATTGCTTTGTCCTCTCCTTCCATTGCTTTGTCCTCTCCTTCCATTGCTTTGTCCTCTCCTTCCATTGCTTTGTCCTCTCCTTCCATTGCTTTGTCCTCTCCTTCCATTGCTTTGTCCTCTCCTTCCATTGCTTTGTCCTCTCCTTCCATTGCTTTGTCCTCTCCTTCCATTGCTTTGTCCTCTCCTTCCATTGCTTTGTCCTCTCCTTCCATTGCTTTGTCCTCTCCTTCCATTGCTTTGTCCTCTCCTTCCATTGCTTTGTCCTCTCCTTCCATTGCTTTGTCCTCTCCTTCCATTGCTTTGTCCTCTCCTTCCATTGCTTTGTCCTCTCCTTCCATTGCTTTGTCCTCTCCTTCCATTGCTTTGTCCTCTCCTTCCATTGCTTTGTCCTCTCCTTCCATTGCTTTGTCCTCTCCTTCCATTGCTTTGTCCTCTCCTTCCATTGCTTTGTCCTCTCCTTCCATTGCTTTGTCCTCTCCTTCCATTGCTTTGTCCTCTCCTTCCATTGCTTTGTCCTCTCCTTCCATTGCTTTGTCCTCTCCTTCCATTGCTTTGTCCTCTCCTTCCATTGCTTTGTCCTCTCCTTCCATTGCTTTGTCCTCTCCTTCCATTGCTTTGTCCTCTCCTTCCATTGCTTTGTCCTCTCCTTCCATTGCTTTGTCCTCTCCTTCCATTGCTTTGTCCTCTCCTTCCATTGCTTTTCCCTTCTTCTTTACCCCCTTCATCTTCTTCTTCTTTACCCCCTTCATCTTCTTCTTCTTCTTTTCCCTTCTTCTTTACCCCTTCTTCTCCCCTTGATCCTTCTCCTCTCTGACGTCACGCCACTCTCATGTCACACCTCTCTCTTCCAAGCCAGCCGCCTTGCTCCCCATCTTCCCATCCCTTTGCCTGCTACACCTCACACAACCCCCTTATTCACCCCCTCCCCCTCCCCCTCTCCCACTTCCTCCCACCCCCCCCCTCCCCTCTCTCCCCTCAGGTGCTGCAGCAGTGCCAGCAGCGCCTGGACGTGGCACTCTTCAACGCGCTGCTGCGCTCCGGCAACGACGTGCTCTCCACCGACCCGGCTGCCGACCCTCTCACCGAACCTGCCGCCCTGCCCTTCCCTGCCAATGGCCGCTTCTGGGCCTCTCAAGGAGGGCTGCTGAAGCACACTGTAAGGGGGATGACTGAAAGACAGGGGGGGCTGCCTGCACACGTGTCAGCCTCTCATGACCTCTGCCATGCACTGCTATCCCTCTCATGACCTCTGCCATGCACTGCTATCCCTCTCATGACCTCTGCCATGCACTGCTATCCCTCTCATGACCTCTGCCATGCAGTGCTATCCCTCTCATGACCTCTGCCATGCAGTGCTATCCCTCTCATGACCTCTGCCATGCACTGCTATCCCTCTCATGACCTCTGCCATGCACTGCTATCCCTCTCATGACCTCTGCCATGCACTGCTATCCCTCTCATGACCTCTGTCATGCAGTGCTATCGATCTCATGACCTCTGCCATGCACTGCTATCCCTCTCATGACCTCTGCCATGCACTGCTATCCCTCTCATGACCTCTGCCATGCACTGCTATCCCTCTCATGACCTCTGCCATGCAGTGCTATCCCTCTCATGACCTCTGCCATGCACTGCTATCCCTCTCATGACCTCTGCCATGCACTGCTATCCCTCTCATGACCTCTGCCATGCAGTACTATCCCTCTCATGACCTCTGCCATGCACTGCTATCCCTCTCATGACCTCTGCCATGCAGTGCTATCCCTCTCATGACCTCTGTCATGCACTGCTATCCCTCTCATGACCTCTGCCATGCAGTGCTATCCCTCTCATGACCTCTGCCATGCACTGCTATCCCTCTCATGACCTCTGCCATGCAGTGCTATCCCTCTCATGACCTCTGCCATGCACTGCTATCCCTCTCATGACCTCTGCCATGCAGTGCTATCCCTCTCATGACGTCTGCCATGCACTGCTATCCCTCTCATGACCTCTGCCATGCAGTGCTATCCCTCTCATGACCTCTGCCATGCACTGCTATCCCTCTCATGACCTCTGCCATGCACTGCTATCCCTCTCATGACCTCTGCCATGCAGTGCTATCCCTCTCATGACCTCTGCCATGCAGTACTATCCCTCTCATGACCTCTGCCATGCACTGCTATCCCTCTCATGACCTCTGCCATGCAGTGCTATCCCTCTCATGACCTCTGCCATGCACTGCTATCCCTCTCATGACCTCTGCCATGCAGTGCTATCCCTCTCATGACCTCTGCCATGCACTGCTATCCCTCTCATGACCTCTGCCATGCACTGCTATCCCTCTCATGACCTCTGCCATGCACTGCTATCCCTCTCATGACCTCTGCCATGCAGTGCTATCCCTCTCATGACCTCTGCCATGCACTACTATCCCTCTCATGACCTCTGCCATGCAGTGCTATCCCTCTCATGACCTCTGCCATGCAGTGCTATCCCTCTCATGACCTCTGCCATGCACTGCTATCCCTCTCATGACCTCTGCCATGCACTGCTATCCCTCTCATGACCTCTGCCATGCAGTACTATCCCTCACCGCCGCTGCCCCTGTATCCTCATCATGCCTTATTGAGCCCCTGCCTCTCCACCATGCCTGTGTACCCTCTGCCCCCCCCCACGGCACGGCACGGCACGGCACGGCACGGGTGACGGCAACAGGTGTCGGAGTGGAGTGACTTCCTGGCAGACATGGACGCACACATCTCCTCACACTGCCCTGCTGCCACCACCGCCACCACCACCACTGCTTCTGCTGCTGCAGCACATGTTGGAGCCGCCCACGCTTCCCCCCCATCCCCCATCCTCCCCCCGCCCACCGTGCCGCCCTCCTTGCTCTCCTCCGCTCGCTTCTGGGCCGGCCAGTTGGAGCTCTTTGATTGGCCAGAGGGCACAGAGGGGCAGGGCGGGGCAGAAAAGCAAGGACGTGGAAATGGACTGGTGGGGCAGGGAGAGGGGTGGAGAGCGGTGACAGTGACAGACAGTGATGGCATGGGAGGTCCAACGGCGCGCAGCAGTGGTGGGTGTGAGGGGGGCACGGGTCAAAGGCACCACCCCGTTGCGCTGCTGCTGCTGGGAGGGCGCGAGGGGGAGGGGGGGGGGAGGGGGAGGAGGGGGAGGAGGGGGAGGGGAGGGGCATGGTGCAGCAGCTGATAGGCGGGCGGGCGGAGTGCTTCCCCCTGCTGAGGGCGCTGGCGCACGTGCTGCTGCTGCCCAAACAGGCCCTCTGTGACCGCCCTGTGCGGCGCCAGGTGCGGTGGGAGAGGAAAGTGGGGAAGACAATGGCGGGGAGAGCAATGTGGGGGAAGAGAGGGATAGGAGGGGAGGGATGAGAGCATTGGGAGCGGTAGAGGAGTGAGCAGTGAGAGCGAGTGACAGGGTTATTGCTGTGCGTGGTGATTGCCATCCGTGGCATGTGTGGCTGACTACGTCTTGTGATTGCTCATCCACGGCATGCATGTCGCCATGTCCGCCCCTGCAGGTGTACGCCACCATTGCAGCGCCGCTGCTGCAGCGCGTGGTGAGCATGTGCGTGGAGCAGCCCTCCCACCCCGACCCCATCCCTCCCGTGCTCCTTGACATGCTGCATGCCGAGGTGAGTGCTGCATGCCGAGGTGAGTGCTGCATGCCGAGGTGAGTGCTGCTCCACATGCCCAGGCTGCTCCTCATGCTCAAGCATTTAGGGTTTAGCATGTGCTCATCTTCTCTCACCTGCAACCCATCCCTCTCCACACCCTCCATCCGCCCCTCTCACCTCCAACTGCTCCTCCTGTCCCTCCTCGCCCCCATCCTCATCAGGCCAGCACGTCTGCCCACGCCACCTACTTGCTGCCAGTCTTCGACCCCGCCCCCCTGCCCCCCACGCCCTACTGCCCCCCGCCGTCCTCCCTGCTGTGCGCTCTGCTGGGGGCGGCTGCTCCGGGCGCAATGGCCGTGCACCAGGGGAGGCTGGAGGGCGGAAAGGGGATGCGGCACGGAGAGGTGTTGGTTGAATGAATGCTGCAGCAAGACTGAGGGGGCACGGCAGCAGCGACTCAGGGTGTGGGAATGAGTGTGCCACTGCAGCCAAGCGGTTTTCCCTGACCACTGGGCTGAGTGAGTAGGAGCTGCTGCTGCCCAAACGGACTGTTACTGCATGCCCTCATATAGTAGGATTCAGCGCGCATAGATCAGTGCTCCCCCCGAAAGTATATCGTACCCGTCTGTGATGGTGATATCGTACAAAAAAAAAATAATAATAACAATAAAAAAAAGGTGACTAAGTCGTCGTAAGGTTGCGGAGCATAATGCTCAAGTGCATATAAAATTATTGGGTATGGTTGGTGTAATTATATATTACTAAAACTTTCTGTACTTTCATGATTGAACTCGAGTCTGTAAAAGCGACGACCTGGGAATTCGAAAACAAGCGCTTTCAACTCCTTGGTCTCTTCTTACCAACTAAGTTTTTGAATTACCATATTCTCCCGGATATAGTACCCTCCCAAAGAACCCCCGGGACTTGTGTTCGGGTCTAGGACTCTTAATATGTACGAAATGTGGGAGGACCCCCCTTTTGCTGAAAAAAAAAAAACATTTTTAAGACCCCCCTTTTCTGTGTAGAGTAATTGAAAATGAATACCGTACCGGTATGCGCGTCACCTTCTAAAGGGGAAGAATCCGAATTTTGTCGTGTCATTTGTGTCAGGTTCGAGATCTGACACACCAATCGTGTCGGATACAAGATCTGACGCCTCTGACGTGCAGCTCGCGCAAATTTCGCGCAAATTTCTCGCACGCGAGATGTTTTTTGTTTCGATCATAAGAAGCCCCCCCCTCTTCAAATTCGAGTGTACACCCCTAAATCACATAACTGTACTTGACTATTAAGTGTACCCGGGACTCTTAGGGCGTGTTCCTACGCTCTTATCAGGCAAACCTCTTGTCAGCCTTGCCTGGTAAAAGTAGCGAGGGTTTCTGGGTTTAGGGAATTTTCAGTGTGTTTTGACGTGAGCTTGATAAGAGGTCGGCCTGATAGGGGGCCGTAGGAACACGCTTTTACAACTTGTGCCAAATAAATGTTCACCCTAGCCATTTTGCCTCTACCGTCATACCCCGGATATAACCCCATGGGGGGCACTAATAAAACAGGTTTTTTTCAGGGGGGTGGGCTATCGAGATAGTGGAAGGAAAGATAGAACAGAGAAGAGGGTTTGTACTAGCAGCATGCAAGGTACATATAGGAAACCCTAATTTGGGTTGTACTCGCTATAGAGTACCCCACTGCAGGCTAGACAATTACAACATTCTGACACACCCCCATAGCCAAAGTGGGGTGTAATCAGCACAAATAACCAGTCATAGATCAAGTCCACAAATGCAAGTAAAGCTAGAGGCAGTCACAGAGGGCAAGTGAGGAGGAGGAGAGACTGTGAGGGGCGATCTGCTGCAGGCGATGGGCGAAGCTGCAGACACAACGGGCAACAGGAGCGGCGTGCACAGTGGCTACCGAGCGCACGAGGGCACCGGACTACGGGAGTATCTGGCTCCGCGGCTACGACGAGCACACACAGGAGCAACTGACCCACAGGCGACTGGCGAAGCAGGCTCGCTGGGCTACCGAAACGCGCGAGGGCATCCGGACTACTGGCGCTGCTGGCGTCACGACGGCTACCTCCACGCAACCTCCCCCGACCGTCCCACGCCCCTCTCACACACCCCCTGCTGACACCCTAGCTCCACTTCCACGACACCCCCCTTAAACCCTAAACCTCGGCTCCCACACATCCACCCCCCTCAGCGGCAGCTGCAGCAGTGGGAGACGGAGGAGGAGGAGGAGCAGGGGACGGCGCACACACACGGCACCCCCATAGCTGCCACCCCCACACTCCGCACCCCCAAACCCTAAAAACGGGCGGAACGGGGGAAGGAGCGCGGGGGACGGCGAGGGGGACGGCGCTCGGCCCCCAGAACGCGACCACGGGGCAGCGAGGGGCCGCGCGCGGCTCCCCAGGGCGGCGCGACGGGAGATCGGGGCCGCGGGGGGTCGCGCGCGGCTCCCCAGGGCGGCACGACGGGAAATCGGGGCCGCGGGGGGTCGCGCGCGGCTCCCCAGGGCGGCACGACGGGAAATCGGGGCCGCGGGGGGTCGCGCGCGGCTCCCCAGGGCGGCACGACGGGAAATCGGGGCCGCGGGGGGTCGCGCGCGGCTCCCCAGGGCGGCACGACGGGAAAACGGGGCCGCGGGGGGTCGCGTGCGGCTCCCCAGGGCGACGGGATCGCGGGGCCGCGGGCGACGGGATCGGGGGGCCGCGGGCGACGGGATCGGGGGGCCGCGGGCGTCCCCCACGGTAGGAAACCGCCGCGCGCCTCGGGGCGCACGGCGGGGAGAAAACCGCCGCACGCCCCGAGCGCGCGGCGGGATGAAAAATTGAAGGCCGCGCGCCACGGGGCGCGCGACACAGAGTAGGGCAGCGGAAGCAGCAGTGGGGCCCACAGGCCAGGAGCGTGAACGCTCTGTTACCATATCGAGATAGTGGAAGGAAAGATAGAACAGAGAAGAGGGTTTGTACTAGCAGCATGCAAGGTACATATAGGAAACCCTAATTTGGGTTGTACTCGCTATAGAGTACCCCACTGCAGGCTAGACAATTACAACATTCTGACATGGGCTTATAATCGAGCAAATTTATAAGCGCCGGCGTTTATAAAATGACATAAATATATTTTAAAGTTTTTAACACCCAACTGTAGATCTCGTGCTTGCTTTTTCAATCGAGTCAAAGTTACATGGGGTCGTCTGTGCTTTTTCTCGCGCACACTGGGAGATACACTCAATCTGACTCACATTCAGGTCCTGACAGCTCCTGCTGACTGGATCCGCATCCAGTGCAGGCTCCGAATGTGAAGGGAAGCGAAACTGCAACACATCCCCCTGCTAAAGTCAAAATCGTTACAGTGTTTTGCACACATTTTGAAATTTAAAGTTTACGTGCGCTTATAATAAAACAAGTTTTTTTCAGGGGGTGCGCTTATAATCTAGCAGCGGATATAAGCGCCACACGCCAATTAAAAGCGCCAGGCGCTTATCCGCGGGTGGCGCTTATATCCGGGGTATGACGGTATTTTAGGAAAGTCCCCCGGGTCTTATATCCGGGAGAATACAGTATAAATTATCAAAGGACTATTTATCTTAAGATTTTTTTTACTACTCTAGGGTTTGTTCTTCCTTTTCTTTCTCTCGTCTTCCAGTCGCCATCACCCTTGGAGGCTAGTTCAGCTTCCTTCCGCTAGTCGTGCGCCACCTACCACTCAGGTTAGAATACTAAACTGTCATATAGAACTCAGTTAGGTGATTGTAAGCTTCTCCCATCCCGCTCTCACGTCGATCTAGTTGTTAGGTCGTTCATTAACAACAGCCTACTCTTGCTTCTAAGTCCAATTTAAAGGTTGAAGCCCCTATATGGCTGCCTGCTATGTCGATTTAAAAGAGCAGGCCATTTTGACTCTTTCAACTTCGTTTATTGCCTTCTTTTGTTGAAACTAATAGACAGGAATGAGTTGCATTGAATGAAATGTGGGTACAAGTACTAACCCTAACTTTGGGCTGTACCCCATATGGGCTACCCCACTATAGCCTACACAGAACTAGCACATATATAGTTTGACACACCCCCATAGGCAAAGTGGGGGAGAACAAGGGGTCACAAGACCAGTCAAGAGAAGTAAAGCAAGCTCAGGGTGGATCACAACGTCACCACACATTCCGAGCACAGGTTCAAAGGCCACAAGGCCAGTTCACATGCAAAGGTATATATAGAACAAAACAAGCAGTACAGTGATCACAACCTAGCAAATATAAACATGCAAGGATAGATATATATAGATCACAGTACAAGCAAGGACAAGCAGTAAGCAAGTGAGAGAACGTAGGCACGAGGCCTAGAGCAGTGCAGTGACGCTGATGATCACTAGGCGGAAGTGCCTTGGTGAATATATCAGCTGTGTTGGCCCGCGTGTCCACGTAATCAAGATGAAGGTGGCCACGCTGCTGCAGCTCTCGAGCAAGAAAGTAACGCAGAGCGATGTGCTTCGTTCTGTGCTCCAGTCTGTGCTCCTGACACAAGGCGAGGGCCGCCTTGTTGTCGCCGTACAGAACTGGAGGAGAACGAGGCCGCTCTCCCAAGTCAGTCAGCAGGTAGGTGAGCCAGCGAAGCTCCTGTGCAGCCATGGCTGTGGCGTAGATCTCAGCCTCACAACTAGAGCTGAGAACAGAAGAAGAGCGAGTGGACCGCCAAGAGACAGAGCCGGAACCAAGACTGAAGGTGTAACCCTGAGACGACCGCTGTGCAGCCAGGTCTACGGCTGGATTCGCCGGTGTCTCCAAGGCGCAACGTAGCGAGCTAGGATGCTAAGAGGGTACGCAAGGTCAGGTCGAGTGCAGGTCATCAGGTACATGAGGCAGTCCACAAGCTCTGGATACGGGCCACTCGGCTCTACGGACTCGTCCGAAGGTGGAGCTAAGAGCGAGTGACGTGTAGACAGAGGAGTGGACTGTGGTGAGGAGTACTGGAAGTCGAAGCGCTGAAGGATCTGCTGCACCATGTGTGACTGGGTCAGTGTAATGGTGCGGCGTGCTCTGTCCCGGGTGATTTGCAAGCCAAGGTAGCTGCGCAGCTCACCCAGGTCTGTGCACGTGTGTCTCTTCTGCAGCTCCGACTTCACAAGGGCGAGTGCCTCAGTGTCAGCAGTGGCGAAGACCAAGTCGTCGACGCACACGAGGATGTAGAACGGCGGCAGCAAAGTGTCGGTGCGCAGAAACAGTGACGGGTCAGCAGTGGAGGGAGCAAACCCAAGAGCCGCAAGTGTCGTCCTCGGTGTGTCGTGCCACTCACGAGGCGCCTGGCGGAGATCGTAGACTGGCCGCCGGAGGCTCCACTGGGTACCAGGAGGGAATGACCCAGTGAAGCCAGGTGGGCGGCGCAGCCAGATCTCCTCGTGCAGGCCGCCCTGCAAGA